GCTATCGATGGAGAATAGTCTTGATTATTGTAGACAATGCATGATGATTAGACAAACTAAAACTAATCGCTTGAATATGCTATCGAGTATAGCGGTTGGAATGATACATTAACTTTATGTATTGGTTGATTGTGTATATGATCTATGTTTATATATATTGTGTGTGGGAAGAGATAGGGGATGTACTCCACGGTTTAGGAAAAGATAGGGGATGGACCTCTAAATCGAATTTCGTGTGACATTGATACAGTACTACAATGTGTATCAAGTGTGGATTATGAAAGTGTTTGAATTGATTTGATATAGCACTAAAATGTATATCGTTATCAATTGTGAAGTACAGAAGTGTTTCTATGTGTTATTGATACAACACTAAAATGTGTATCTATCATGAATTTCGAAAGTGTTTTAAAGATGGGTCTAAATCTCATCAAATTATTTGGTTAGGTTCTAAGCCTTGTTTTCAAACTCAAAGTTGAATAAGAAATGGAAATTGAAGTGTGTCATGGGCATGATTGTCGTGAAACTGTAATACGGCATACGTTGGAATACAAGTGTGGGCCATCTATTGAATACTATTATTTTAGTCCTTGTTTATAGTTGGTTTAGTATATTTTTACTTAGCTGTGGCTTACCCTTTATGGGACATCATTTTCAGGTACGGGTAACATGCCACCTCCAAGGACATAGCTTGGGAGGCTAGAGATAAACCGACTGCTTTTGTTATTTTGCTTTCTTTTGATGTATTACATGTATATCAAGCCAAGGGCTTTTTTTGTATAGAGTTGGTACTCTTTTTTTTTGTAACCAAGTGTTGACTTGGAAAGTTGTAAGCCCATAGGGCATTTACTTTCGTTGTTAACATGTAATACATTTTGTAATGATTACTCTGATGGAATATATTTATGCTTTGTTTTCTTATGTCTAAACATGCTATTATTGAATGATTTATGGGTTTATTTTGAGGGCGTTACAAAAAGATTATGGCATCCATCTTATAATTAAAGAAAAACATGACATATAATTTTATATTTTTTAAATTATAACTAAAAATAAAAATAAAATAAAAAAGTCATAATCCAATAAATATGAGGTATAATTAAAGATCTTATAAATCATAATTAGAATAAGATGATAACTACAAAAATAATATAGTAAAATTTTTCTATATTTTATATACATATAAGCAAACAAAAAAGTACAGCACTGACTCCAAACTGTCAGTGTGATTGGAGAGATCTAGTTAGCTGGTTTCTTAGTCCATATATTGAATTTTGTTTTCATGTTTAGAGAACTAGTCATCTATGTTTTTTTATTTTTATTTTTATTTTTATAATAATAATAATAGTAGGTCAGATAAACAAGAAGCTATCAGGTAAATCTCGTAACTAATTCATATATTTATATGGAATCAGGTTCTGTTTTGGTAGGAGAGATGACTGATTCTCTCCAATTAGGTCTATTCGATTTTCACTACCTTGAATCATTTATTTTGTAAACTTTTATATGTAAGTTTATTCGTAAATTCTTTTTGATTGATTTGATAATTATAATTATCCAATCATTCATTTTTAGAGAAAAAAAATTAATTAATTATAATTATGGAATTAAAATAAATTTTTTTTTCACAAATTATTGACAGATACAAATTTTGAAGATGAATAAGTGGAATAATCAGAGTGAGAGGTATGCATAATAAAGAGTCCATGGGCCAATTGGACACAACCTGTCCTAGTAGAGACACAGACACTGGGCATATAATACATACATACTCCAAAAGGAGATATGTATCACAGAATTTCACATACATATATATACATATATCATATATGTGTGTGTGTGAAATTTTGGAAGAACATGACATATGTCTGGCCTCATCTAGATTTTTAGCAACCGCATAGAATTAGAATACATAATGTGCATAAAAAGTATATTTTGGGATTAAAATTTATTTTAAATATAACTTCCATCACACTCTAATAAATTTCAAGTAATAATAGGATCCCAAATTTCTATAGAGATTTGTAAAGGGAAAAAAATTAGAAAAAATTGAAGTGAAAGATATTTTTTTTTTTTGGGTGTGTTGAAAGACTTTGTTGATCGAGTAATTTAACATCCAAAATTTCCATCTTTACCCATAAAGATTTTCTCTCTAAAAGGACTGCTGCTGTTGCTGTTTAAAGTGTGCTGTTGGTTGGGCTTTCTACTAAATGGGTCATGGCAGGCCTTAAATACTGGGCTTTCTGGGCATTAATTTCAATTGCCTATAGTTTGACTATACCGCTTTCAAAAAATTGAAGTTTTTATTTTGCATTTTTTTAAATTTTTTTAATATTTAAAAAAAAATTATTTTTTAGATACACCTAATTTAGCTATCAGTAATGTTATATACACCAATTGGTGTATTAATTTGTATACAAACATATACTATGACCAGTGGTAGAGCCATAAAATTAAATTAGAGCGGACACTTATTAATTACAACATCGAAAATTTTTACAAAAATATTTCACGCAAGTTTTTACGATTGATTTCGAGAAACATCAGAAAAATAATGTTATTTATAATTAGTGTATCATGGATAATACAAAAAAAAAATATGAATATAAGTCTTAAAATAAATTATATAATGAAAAAAAAAATTATACAAAATTTGATTAAAAATGTAATATAATGGTAATACCACGTCATCATTGATATGTGATATCACCAACTAATAGTAGGGGTGCAACTCGGACGGGTTCGATCAAGTTGGGAGGTTGTCCAGGCCTAGCTCAAGTTGTGCTGAGACATGCCCAAGCTCGAATAGTAACCCAAGATTGGCTGCCCAAGCCCGACTCGAGTTAAATCCGAATTACCCAAATTGTAAATGAATTTCGGTTTTATTTTATTTATTATTTTTTTTTTTTGCAGCTATATTATTAAATTATTAAAATTTGACTCTATTTACATTTTTTTATATATAGAAAATCATTAATACCATCAAAACAAAATAATTTATATAATGTAATAAAGATGCCGCCATAATAGTCTTTACAATTTATGAGTGAAAATAAAAAGAATAAGATTTTATGTTATTTGTATATATAATATTTATTCAATATGATTTAATAATCTAAATTACTTTAATATCATGTACTGACTAATAATTTATATATATATTTAATATTTTTATATATCTATATAAGTACAATTCGGGTTTCGGGTTGCTCGAGTTGTTTGTCGTCTTTGCCCAAGCCCGCCCAAATTTAATTCACTCTTTTGAATTTTTGCTCAAGACCATACCGAATTAGAAAATATCTTGTTCAAGACCTAAAAAAATTCGAGCTGAGCTCGGATTGCTCGGGTTGAACCCGCCTAAATTGCACCCCTAACTAATAGTACATAAACACATAGAGAGTATACCTCACATGTTAAATGTAACTAACAATTCAATAAATTTCATATCTTTATAGTGGGATTAGTTATATTTGCATGTCAATAATAATAACATTACTATTACACTCAAAAAAATTCATAGATAATATGGTTTATAGTAATCTCTTCGTTTTCAATTAAAACATTAATTATTGTTATCATATTTTTTAAAATATAATTAACATTTCACTCTAACAATATTTTTGCAATTTTTTTTTAATTTAAAATATTTTGTTTATGTTTGCAAAATTCAAAGGAAAAAAAAAAATCCCCCAACACTCTCCCCCCCCTCCCCACCACCTCCCTCCGCCACTCATTATGACATTGCCACTTCAAAACTATGGCCCTGTTTGGTAGAACTCTGGAAAAGTGATTATAACTTATAACCTAACAACTTATACCTTATAGCTATGAACATAAACTGATTTTTGACTTATAAATTAAACTTCTCCTCTCCTACTTAAAGAATAAGTTAATTTTTTATAAATTAAGTTTCTCCTCCCCTACTTAAAGAATAAATTGATTTTTGACTTACAAAAGCCTATTAACTGTATGGTTAAACTGAACCAAACACATCAAAATAACTTAAATTAAGTTAAAAACTGAAATAAACTAGAAATAAATTCTAGCAAACAGGGCCTATGAGCTCAACCCATTATACAAGCTCCATAGACCCAAAACTTCTAAATTTATGTGACATTACCTGTTAGCACCTTAATTAGTAAAACCAATTGTAAAACCAATTGGTGCATATATCTTTATCTTTTAAATCATTTAAAAAATATAATATTTATAAAAAAAAATCTTTAAAAAATTCATCAAATACAAAATATATATATATCAAATTCTTGTTTATTTATTAAATTTTTAAAATATTTTTTCTTAAATATTTTACTTTTTAAGTGTATCTAGAAAGTTCTAAAACAAAAAATTACTTAAAATATGAAAAAAAAATAAAAAAATCACTAACCAAAAATATATATATACAAAAAAAAAAAAAACGCAATTTTCAAAAATCAATCAAAACCAAATATAAAGATAAAAATTTATCAAATTTTCTTTATCACCAAGTACAAAAATAAAACAATCAATCATAATATAAAAAAAAATGTGGAACTCATACCCTTGTGTAAAGTAAGGGCATGTTTGATTGGGTGGATTAGAGCATGGGATTAGGATTATTAATCCGTGGGCCCAATTATCTCATGTTTGTTTTAACATTTTGGTTTAGGATTATTAATCCAATGGATAATTAATCCAACAAATTTATAGAATTATTAGTAATGGGGTAGGGGTGGGATTATTAATCCAATGGATATTAATCCAATTGGATAGTGAATCCTACACTAATTTAATAGGATTATTAATACTTCACTATTAGTCTTTTGAATCAAACATGACCTAAAAGTACTAAAAAGAGCAATATTATATATAATTTCATTTCTTATCTCATTTTCTCAATATTAGATACAAAACAAAATGTATATAAGACCCGTTCACTTGTGTCTTAGAGTTAAAAAAATATAAATAAAAAATAAAATTATATGTAACATTTTCCTCTAAAAAATAATCACCTGCATCTATGACTGACAACGTTTCCTAATTGAAGTTAGCTCCAAAAGCAGATTTTGGAATGTTTCTTCAAATACATTATCAAATCAATAATATTATGATAATCACATTTTTTGTCACGTGTTCACTATCTTATCCGGGAGCCATGGGCCCAACTTAAAACTTCGCTGGTACAACAGGGTTTTTTCTAAAAGAAAAAACCCAAACAACTCCTAACGTAACAGGCCTTATCACTACAAAATTTTAATTTCTATTAGAAATTAATTGATACAAAACTGAGGGGATAAACCATTCACCACACCATTTGAATAATTGACAGCTAGGTAAATAAATCATACAGACTGTTTCTTTTTGTTTGTGTGGCCATCATCCTTGTCCTTTCCCTTCCTTTTCATCCCGCCTTTAAATCCTCTCTTTGGTGCCTGAGGAACAAGAAAAATCCAATTCATAAGCAATCTGCAATGGCAATCTTAACCTACCAATCAGCAATTTGCAATCAACATGTCGCTGAATCATGTAAAGATAGTTTATACATTAGCTGTTTGATTAATAGACAAGGCTATACAAAATTTCCTTTGAAGATCCAATTCATCTGGAAGACTAGTTCGTGAATTAATTTCCTGGAGAACTTATACACATGCATATATCTATATGTTTAGTGTCTGTCTAATTTTCATGTGGTTATTATATCAAGAAACAGAGGAAAACAAATCTTTGAAGAATCTCTACACATTAAGGGTTGTTTTGGAAAGTGACTATGTTAGTTGCCTGAGCAATGATTTATGGCTCTAAATTTGGAGCACTGGCTCTAATGATGTGATGAGGAAAAAAAAAATCATTTATAGCTCTAAATTTGGAGCTCTGGCTCTAATGATGCGACGAGGAAAAAAAAAAAAAAAAAAGACACATACATCAAATCATTTATGAGTGGGGCCCACTGCCACATAAGTAGAGCTCTCATTAGAGCTTTACTTTTAGTGCTCTTAAACATTTTTGTTAGTTGCATTTTTAGTTTTTTAGAGAGAGTAGTTAACTTTTTTATAGTTACTTTTTGACTATTGCATGTTGCCAAGTTTCTAGCAGACCCCTCAGTTTCTTTTTAGGTGAAGAGAAATTTCTGGCAGAGATATTCCCATACAAACAAAAGGCTCTGGAAACTAAGAGAAAAATTAGCAAAGAACAGCCTCATACCTCTGCGGAGAAGGATTTAAGAGGATTGCTGTTTTTTCTGAATTTACCCTTGAATCCCTTACGATGACCAGAATTAGTGTTACCCATGGCAGCTCTAGCAAGCTTGATAACCTTGCTTGCCTCCTGAGTGGTTGGGTCCAATAGGTATTCGGGCACATCACGCAGGTGAGGAGCTGGGGCCTTCTTGCTCAGGACCTTGTCATGTTTCAAAAGATCTGTCCAAATATGAGTATAACATTGTTATCTTCAATCTGTGCACGTAACATGTAACATCTATACAAAACTAACCAAAATATCCAAATGATGCGTTTCATTACCCAAGTCTCGTGGATTATCTTGAAAATGAGCCTTCAACCTGAAAAGATTTATAGTCAGCAAAACCACAAACAAACAGAAGTGATAAGAAAGATCACAGTGATATGAACATGTCAATTGCAAAGGGTAAAGTCAATGCTGTGTGTGTGAGCACACGCGTTTGTTTGGTGGCTTGGTTGCAATTTTGACAATGGTCCTATGGTCAAACTGGTCTGTGTCGATGATTTCAAATCACGAAGTACCATTTTTACAGATATGCAACAAATAACTGATGCAAACAGTATATGATTCTATGTACTTTACAATTGGCATTATGTTTTAGTTTGGTCAGGGTAATATGCTAAATATAAAACCTTGAGCAGTAGAAAAGACCTAATTTGAATTCCATGTGATATAGACAGATAAGATGTTTAAGGCAAGAAGACCTTGAATATTTCAGAAAATACTGCTAGAGTCGGAAAATAACTCACTTTTCAGAATTTAGAATTTCGTTCCTCAGATCCTGGGCCCGTGATTCTCTCACAGCAATTTTTGTCACGCTCCTCGCAACATCCTGTGAAGATCAAAGTTTTTTAATATGGATTTCTTTTTGTACAAAGGTTGGTCCCTTTCATGGGCTTTTTTTAATTCAAATTCACTAATAAAAAATAAATGAATACATCAGAGCTTGGAAACTGATATATTTCTTGGTCATAGATCCTTAAATAACCATAAGAGGAGGTTTAATGGAGCACAGCCATTAATCAGAATATACATGGAATTATAAATTATTCACCTCAGCTCTATATCGTAAGGACTCCACAGCATTCTTAGTGAGTAATGGAAATGGTGCAATAAAATTTGAGTCCCTAGTTTCATCTTCACCCAAAGCAGATTTAATTTCTTCAAAAATTTCCATCTCTTCAGGAGAAACCTGTTGACAGGACAAGCAACAAAAATTGCTAACAAGCCTGGAAAACCATATTTAACAACAAAAGATTCTGGTTTTAAGTCAACATACCCTAAGAATTATACAATTGTCATAAATATCTACGTGCATATGCAATGTTTTAAATATACACATTATAAAAATTAAAGGGCTCAATGTTAAATCTAATTATAGTAATTCAGTAAATATTCGTCTACATAGAAGAGGACAAAAACAACTTTGTTTCATTAGTGGCCCCTGCATAAAATTAACCATAAATTTGTCTTCATAAACGTACCAGAGAGACAGATGCACCAGTATTATAGGCTCTTCCAGTGCGCCCAATTCGATGTATATATCCTGCACCACTCTGAGGCATGTCAAAATTTATAACCTGTTGAAAAGAAGTACAGCAGCTGTGGTTAGATAGCAAACAGTTAAAAGAGAGCATTTAAATAAAACAAAATGTTACAACAAGAGCAAACAACTTGGACCAAAATCAAAACTTAATATCCAGCTCAATGATGAAAACAAGTCCTTGAAAAAATAATAATAATCATTAGCCTTGCACTGGCAAAGCAAGACTGGTGGAGCAACATCAAGTCTAATCAACAAGCAACAATGGGTTAGAGAAATCCTTCAACGAGAAATTGCTCCAAATTATGAAGACTTATGCATTGGGATGGAGGGGAGGCCAGACTACGGTAACAATTCTTCGGTTTGACAACCAACATTCTACATATGCAATAAAGGATAATTTTTAAGAAAACTCAGCAAAGCATGTTAAAAAAATGGATCTTGGCTTTCACCATTTTATGTTCATCAAAAATCTCCAAAATAGTCTTTTGTGAGGCAGGATGTCATGAAACCTCATATTTACTTTCCATGGTTTAGAAGATTAACATTTCATTAATATATATATATATATATATAAGTGAGCAAAGATAATGCAATGGAACTGTTAGGATAAATCATGCTAAATCATTTCTGTACCGTGTGCACATTTTTGAAGTCAATTCCTCTCACAACTCCAAATTCAGAGTCCAATTTTCTCTTGGCATGCTTTCTAGATTTTTTTTGCTCAACGTGACTCTCCACATCAGCTTGTTCCTTCTTTGATTGGCTGTCATCAGTTGCTATCAAATAATCAAAAAGCCCAGCATTGAATTCCTGATAGCACAAGAACAAGCAAAAGAATTAGAACAAAAACCCTACTTTGATCATAAATCAGAATGTAAAACTCAGAGCAACTCATCAAATTTATTCTTTATCAAGTTTCTGAATACATGAAAAGTGAAAAACTTAATTGGCATACCTCAAGGATGTGTAGACGAGAATTTTGAGGCAACTCAGAATTTAAAACAGCAGACTTGATTCCGAACTGCCACAAAATATAAATCAGAATCCACAATATGGAATCAAAAGGAACAACAAAATAACATGCCACAAAATATAAATCAGAATCCACAATATGGAATCAAAAGGAACAACAAAATAACATTGAAATAAATTATCAATATCAATGAGCTTCTCACAGTCTAAACTCTAAAATTTTGTGTTATATAATACACCAGATGGGTCAGGTGAGTGAGGTCACACAGAATAATAACCTTTCGAAATAGATGAAATAACAGTTGATTATTTGCCATTAATAACTTTTTTTTCATACTTATTATTATTATTATTATTATTATATATATACTTGCAATATACGACTAAATGTACAGACAACCTCCACATTCCACATGATATACACTACATAAGTCAGGTCAACCAAACAACAATTAGAAACAGATTCCGTTCAGCTTGAGATCATATTCAAAACCATATCAGTATACACAGCAGGAGCCCATAAAGATATCTACCATATTTTCCACGAGAGATCATTGGATTATCAACAGAGACCAGCTTCATTTCTAAATCTATATATTAAGTTCATTTGACTTCAGGGTTCTGCATACATGATTTCTACAGAAACATTCACATCTATGAACAACCTTGCTTGACAACTGAGCTTGGAGAAGTCTAACCATCAAGAGGTAATTCAACTCCACCTTTCAAGTGGCTTGGGCTTGGGCATCCCAAAGGAAGACCTAGATACCTAAGACAGAGGCCACCTGCTGGTGCCACACCCTGACGAAAACAGCCAGCCCAGTCAACTTATCCTTTGGACCATTGCAAAATGAGTATAATGCTATCCATTTTGGTTTCAAGACATCTACGCCCTAGGTTTGCATTTTAGAAAACTTAAGAACAATCATCAAGATTAAACTTTTGGTATCCGGCTGTCCGCACTTAAGGATAGAATAAGAAAAGCTTTTTCCTTTCCAAGTATCAGAGAGCAAAAAATAATTCCAGAGAATATAAAGCAAAGTTAAAATACCTGTTCAAAGAAAAGTTTCAGTCTAAAACCCATGTCAATTGTATTAGTAAATATCAGCACTTTTTTCTGGACCAGCTCCAACTTCAAGAGTGCAAGGATGTAAACAAGCTTATCACGAGCACTGCATGAAATCTAAACAAATAATAGTAAGGCAAGGAACACAAGCAATAAAAACATGTATATGAAGCATCACTGAAGACAAAGAAATCAAGATATTCAATGATGCAGAAGAAGACCTCAAAAATAAAAATTAAAAAACTAATTCTTTAAAATAAAAAAATAATTCACCTTAGTTGATGACTGTAAAGGTACATTCCTACATGTAACAACTCAAGGATGAGAGAGAGAGAGAGAGATATTGACAACACTTCATCTTTTGCAGGACATAGTTATGTGACTCTTTTACCCCATGCTTAACATAGTTGTTATATGACCACTGAAGACTACGTTAAACGTCTGGAGACATTTCAAACTTGAGATTTTAAGGGATAGGCTATTCAAATATTTTCTCAAAATATGTATGCTAAAAACTTTCTCAAGGAAAGACCATGTAAAGGACTCATGCACCAGATGTCAATGTAAGGAATCTATCATGGCCTTCCAACAGTGGAAAAATGAAGAAAGAAAATTAATGCCATGCCAAAGGATGCACGCCTGCAAGGTACGCTTACATTACATGGCAATGCGTCCAATAGACAGAAAAGGGAAAAGGAAAGATCAGTCCTCACTATACAAGCAAAAGAAAATTCAATCATGACCAAGGTTTTGAAAAGCGGTTGCGGTCGCCGTAACGGTTGAGTGCGGAATGTAAAGGCCGTAACGTAACGATTGCAGTAACAAGAATTGTGATTTTTTTATTTTTTGCACAATTTGAAAAAAAATTACTAATACTCATTTTTTTTTTTCTTTTTTGAATCACATTTATTGGGGTTTAAAATAGATTTTGATAAATTATTGTTAGTTTTTAAATATGATCCAATATATTTCATATTTTTAAATCACTATAAAATGAGCTTTTTATATTTTATTTCAATAGTTAATGACTTTAACAATAATTGATTTTAAATATCTACAAATTATTTTTGACAAATACTTAAACTAACTGAATAAAAAATATTCATAATTATTAAATGAAATGATTATAAAAATAAAAATTGAGTCATAAATAAAAATTATTTTTAAGCTAATGATTTTATTTATTTTTAAAGACATTTTTTAGACAACACTTTATAACTAACTAAATAAAATTATTTAAAATTAAGTATTCAATGAAATGATTATAAAAATAAAAATTGTGCCATAAATAAAAATTATTTTTAAGCCATTGATTCTATATGTTTTTTATTTTAAATGCTAATGTAGTAAAATAAAAATCGAAAAATAAATTGTAAAGAAAAAAAATGCATGTAAGATTTTTTCTTTAGACTTTGATCACTTGAGTATTTGTTCTTTTTTTGTAAGCTATTTTTCTTTTCTTTTTTTTTTGAAATAAAGCTATTCAGAATATTGTAAAAGTATGTAACAAATTGTCACGGCTATTATAGTACCGCTATGGCCGTTACATAACACTGAAACGGCCATTACACGTGTGAATTTCTGTCAAACCACTATAATAGCCATAACGGGTGGCGGTAACTATGTTACCAGAAAACACTAATACCCTAACGAATTACGTATTGATATGCATGTTCCGAAACATGGTACACTTTTATTCCAAAATGGTAAATTTAGTGATTTAAAGCGATTCCAAAAGTTTTTTTCAACATGTCCATAAATGTTACCTTAGGAGGAAAAAATTCAAATATAATGAAATAAAATTTAAGGTGAGTTAAGGTTTGACCGGAAAAAACATCAAAAAAATAGGTTATAATGCTCATAGAAAATATTACATTTTATTGAATATCAAATAGTTAAAAAAAAAAATTACTCTAGAAGTACCTTAAATTCTTCAGTATAATATATACAAGTCTACCCTATCATACCACATTTTAGAGTATATGGAGTACCACGTTGCCGTTCCTGTTCCACATACCGGAACAATCTACGTTCCGGGTAACATAGGGCAATAACCACCACAACCATTACGTAATAGTTGTGGCCGTTTTTTAAAACCTTGATCATGATAGAAAATTTTGGGATGCTCAATTGACTGTACAACTAAATAAAATAATCTGGGAACTAACTCAGGGCTTCATAATTTATTAAGAAGAGCAGATTGACTCTTACCCAAAATTGCTGAACATTTTGAGGGATAATATCATCCTTAACATCTCCCACTTCCGGCAATGTTAAGATATAGGGATTGTGTAGAATAAGTTTTTTGAGCTTTTCAACATCAGCACTGCAAAATATCACAAAATAAACATAAATGAAATATGAATCAACCAATTGAAGCTCCAAGGACGAAAACAGCCAAAATGTCACTTTTCATCCAAAAAATAATCTATGAATGAATGCTAAACTATCAAGATTCAACTTCAGCAAAGCAATAAAATTTCAAAAATAAGTGAACTGAGTATTTGGGACTTATATTTCTCATATAAATTTGAGTTTGAAAATTGTTAAATCCAAATTTGAACTTAGAGATGAACTGAATCACCAGAGCATTTATCAAGGCATGTGAAGGATGGATAAAATAAAACTGTGAATAATCGCAAGAGCAAAAATTGCACATAGTTGTACCACCATTATGAAAAGAATAATAATAAAAATAAAAACAGCGGCAGGAAAAGAAGAGTGCAAAAGACACCTTGAGGTAGCAGACATGAGAAGACATTGACAACGTCTTGGGATATGAGCTGTAAGAGCTTTGAGATCATCTTCGTATCCATATGACAAAAGAAGATCTGCCTGAAGACAAATATAAAAATAGATGATAAGAAGATTATGATTAATCCTTTAAATTAACCGAGCTTATTCAGAATAACATGATTAATGTTCCTGTGTAAAAATCATACCAATTTCCATGAACAAAATAAACTACATTTTTAACCCTCATAGTTTTGAATTTGGAATCAAGTTCCACAGCGATAACCAGCCATTTGAATTTGAGGTCATAAATAAGAAATTCACAAACTCAAGAACTAGACTAGAATTCAGATGCTGAAATTCATGATCATATTGAATCTGCACCTCATCGAGAACAAGTATTGAAAGTGAATTCTGGACAGATGTTGGGTTGAGCACACCTTTCGACAAGCATGTTTTTATGCAAGCCGGGGTGGAAACCAGAATATCAGGCGGTGCTGCCAAAGCAGTTTTCTGTGAACAAATTTTCAAATCAGATATAAATTAGACAAAATGGTCATCACACATGACCTAAATCATATCTAAAACAACAAAACAAGAAACAAACCAACCAACCAAATCAGAAGCGGACATGGTGCTCATCAACTGTACAACTTTCAATTGCACTCTACATAACTCAATTAGCGACAATGCTTCGGAATAAACCTGGAAACACATGATATGCATACATAAGAACATTTTTCTATCGATAAGAGCATTCCCAATCCTTCACCAATTCTTTCATCAAATTCAAATGATATGTAAAAAATTCACTAAATCAAGGTCGAACCACCAAATTTTCAACAACCATACTTTTACTCAAATTTGATGCTGAATTGAGTAGAAATAAAAAGCACCTGTTGGCTCAATTCTCGTGTCGGGACGAGAATGAATGCAGTGGGAGCGAGGTTCTTATTCGAAGCAGAATCAGAGAAGAGCTTCTGAAGCAACGGAAGGACGTAAGCGAAGGTCTTTCCGGAACCAGTCTTTGCTCGGGCAACCACATCCTTACCTGCCTACAAGCATATATAAAATAAACAAATGAATACGCAAGAAAAAAAATTCAAATTTTTTTTTCTCTCTCTGTTTCTGAGCAGCCAAACTGAGAGTTAGGCGAGAAGTACTAACAAGGATGAGTGGAATGGCGACACGCTGGATTGGAGTGGGGTTGTCGATGCCTTTCTTGGTTAGGGCACGAATCAAGCGAGGGTCCAATCCAAGCTCTTCGAAGGTCTGGTCGTCGTCCTGTTCTTCCTTCTCTTGGTCCTCGTTCTCGTGAGACAACTTGCCTGTTGCAGTAGCCATGGAAGACAAAGGCGAGGAGAGCTGACCGCAAACACACAGAGAGAGAGAGAGACAGAGAGAACTAGGGTTTTAGCAGTTGATGGCGGGAGGGGAGAGAGGAAGGGAAACGGGTTATGTTGAAACGGCCCACATAACAGAATGCTCCCACCCAACCCAACAACCCAATTTGGGCCCAAACTAATCACCCATTTGAAACGGGCCTGAAACTGTCGGGGGTATTAAATAACTTTCTGGAATTTTTCCCTAAACTAATAAGGTCTACATTTCTGCTTTTGTCCCCACAATCCAACCCATAATTCTCAAACTCATACTAATTCTCATAACACTCACCGATTTTCTAATATTTTTAACAGCAAAAAAATAAAAATTTTAAGACTAATATGTCCATAAAAACCTCACTCAGGACTTATTAGTTAGTAACTCCAATTAGGGGTGTGTGCGGTGCGGGTCGGTGCGGTTTAAGAGCAAAATAGAAACAGTATGACAGGTGGCGGATTGATAAAAATGTCATTAAAATTTGCCATTTTTCTTATCAAAAACCGACGGTTCGGTTGGCAAATAATGGCGGATTTACCTTGGCGGTTGACGAGTTGGCGGTTTATAAAAAATATAATTCAAATTATAAAACTTGAATCAAAGAGTAAAAAGATCTAATTTATAAAATTATTTGGTAATTTTAGGGCTAGTTCATATGTTGCTCTAATTTAATTTTTATTAGTAATTAAAATAGTGAGATTTAATATTTTTGTATTGATTTTTAAGAGACAATATGGGTTAAAATTTATCAATTCAAATTTTATTGTTAATATATGTTTATTATAAGCAGATTTGAATGTTCTTGCCAATTGCAATGTTTTCAATGTAGTCAATTCTAAGCAGATTTGAATATATGTTTCTTGTTAACAATTCAAATTTAAAAATAAAAAAAACAAAAAAAAAAAACTAACAGATTTAATGTCCCTATTTATTGTGTTTTCGACACTATAAACTGAATGAATAAAGATATGAGCAGGATATATAAGAGACATAAGATATATATATATATAGAGAGCAGTATATATGTATAGTATAAGTATATAGAACAGAGAGAGAGTGAAAGAAAAGATATAGATAGAGCATCGAGAGAGAAAGAGCGAGAGTACCGACGACGAAGAGGAGAAACCAGCAGTGAGCCGATTGGCAAGGGAAGGAGATACTAGCGACGGCGGTGAGGATAGGTGACCAGCCGTGAGCCGATCGGCATAACAATGGTGATGAATCTGTGTAGTGTGTGTGTGAATCGATGCAAAATGCACAGCAGCGGCGATGAACTGTGTATGTGATGAATGAGATGAATTGAAATGTGTGGGTAGTAGCAATATTTTAAAAATCGGACCGGTGAACGAATCGGAAAAAGGATTGGGTGGACGGGTCACCGGGTTGAACCGGAATTGAACCGTGACGTAATAAATATATTAAAATTATATTTAAATAAAAATATAAGTAATAAAATTATAAATTAAAAATTTTAATAATCTTAAATATTTCTCTTAATACTTTTTTTATTAAAAAATATAAAAATATATTTAAAAATATTATTAATTTTAATTTTGGAAGAAGAAATCAAATATTCAATATTCAATATTCCCTCCATATGATTTTAATTCAAATAATTTGATTGAAAGAAGAGCAAAAATTTTGGAGGGATATCAAAACTTTAAGTTTCCCTCCAATAGATTTGATTGAATCCCACATAGATTTCTTGAGTTTTTTTGGAAGAATTTTTTTCTTATAAATAGATAGAAAAATAAAAAAAAAAAAAAAAAAAAAAAACAAAAAAAAAAAAAAAAAAAAAAGAGCCGGACCGGTTCGATCAACCCGTGACCAGGTCAACCGGTTCACTGGTTTAACCGGTGGTTTCACCAGTTTTCAATAAATAGTCCGGTTTTTGCAATTGGCCGGTTTAAGAGGGCTAACCGGACCGAAACCCCATCCGGTCACCGGTTGAACCGGCCGGTCCGGTCCGGGTTTCAAAACCTTGGGTAGTAGGTTTAATGGAGGAATTATTGTGTGTGTGAGAGGGTATAACAGCAGAAATTTTTTTAAAAAAACATGGGTGGGTCAGGTCGGGTTGACATGGGTTTGGGAAATTTCACCCGTCACCCGCGCTGACCCCGCAAGTGCTGCTCCTCCCACCCGCCCAACTCGCCCGTCAGAGCTAAAATTTTGTGCAATTTGGTACGGTTTAAAACGATTCGGTGCGATTTTAACACTATTATGCATAGTTGTAACTCCAATCAATAGAGCCCACTAGTAATTTTACCTAAATGGGAAAATGCTAAAATGGTAATACAAGCACTGCATAATTATTTTTACACCTAAGAAAAAAGAGAATTTTCATGGACTGGCTTCCACCCATAGAAGTTTCACACATCACCCATAAAAATTTTGCTGTAAAAAAAGATTAGAAGACCAATTTTGATAGTCATGTGAATCATGACGAAAAGTTTGACCCAAAAGCTTAAAAAAAAAAAAAAAAAAAAAAAAAAAAAAAAAAAAAAAGTCATTAGCAACAAAATTTTGAAAATGACACTAACAAATACACTTTTAAAATAGGATAATTTCCTTCAATAAAATTTACTTTAATCCAAAAAATATAGTAATTTATTATTAAATATTCAATTTGGTCACTAAAAAAAATTAAAAAAATGTTCGACACTCTAATATTTGAATTCATCCTTAAATTCTAGGTAAATTACACTGATGCCGCCTGAGATTTGATCCAATTATATCTCACTTCTTGACATTTTGAAAATTACATTTCCACTCCTATGGTTAATAGTCTCGTTTCACAAATTCTCTACTTATATAAAAGATAACAATTCCTAATAGAAAAATTGAGAAAATTACATTAAAAAAAAAGTAAAGCAAAAGAAGAAGAAAAAAAAACAAATGAAATAAAGCAAAGAGAGTACATGAGTTCAATATTTTCATTCCGTCTAAATAATTATAATGATAGAGGGTTAGTGTAGTTTCTTAAATGTCAGGGAGTGATATGTATTAAACTCAAATCTCAGGGGATGTAAGTGTAATTTACCCTTAAATTTTTGTCTTTCAAATTTCAATTTTCTCTAATGTTTATTTTAATTCATAAATTATAAGTATAAATTGCATCAAATTCTTTGATATAAATTTTTAAAATAAAAATTATATATAAAAAAACATAAATTGTGTGAAACAATCCCAATAGATTAAAGAACTACGTGACAAAACAATTGTGGGATGACGCAATGATAACCTCAGAAGCATAAATATGCCCTCATGAAAAAAATCAAAACCATTAAAGATTACCTATCTATCTATGTGATTCATGGCCTGTGTGATTGGTCTTTAAGCAATGAAAGCACAAACACAGGAATGTTGTGAGTGGCACATTGAAATGTCAATTTTTGAATTTCTCCATAGAGATGCATCAAATTGAAATTAATCACAAGTCTCCTAGCCTTTGTTGAATGCGGTACATTTACCACATACTATGCTCTACGCATATTTTATCTACAAATAACATGCCCCAGCGTGGACCCATTGATTATGACAATCATGCCCTTATTGGAGGATCTATTAATATACGAAGTCTACACATACAGGAAATGGAATAAAAAAATATTTAGAAAATATAATTTAAGGGTAGAATTTAAGAAAATTTTAACATGCACACCCTTGAAAATGATGTATCATATGTATAGGTAGAGGCTTGTTGTACTTCATGGCACAGCGGCGCTGTTGTGAGGTCTTGTAAAGGAATTTTCTGACTATATTTTGATAATCTAAATTGTTTATATTGTAAGGTTTGTCGAGTATATCATCCATATAAAAAATTAAGTTAATCGAACATTTGTAACACAATGATCAAGTTCTAATTATTTTTAAAAAATTATTGAAATCATGTTAACGGTTTATTTTTTGAAAAAAAAATGTGGTCTTATCAAGAGACTACAAATGTCCAATTTACTTGATTTTTTGCATGAATAATCTATTCGACAAACCTTACAATATGAACAGTTCAAATCATCAAAAAAGACTTGGAACACGCCCTCAATAAACCTCAAAGCAGCCTGCTGTGCCATAAGGCACAATACAGACCCCCAACTCCATATGTATTCTTAGTTATTTCATTTTTTTTTTTTAGTTATGATCAATTTTTTTCTTTAGTTATGACTTCTGAGTTCTTTAGTTATATTTCCAGTTGTGTTAATTATAATATTTTTTTTAGTTTTGACTCAGAAATTATGGAGTTGTGACATTTTGACACAACAAAAAATTTAAATATGGACCTTAGATTTATAATTCTGGAAAATGTTTGAGGGTCACAATTTTTGTGGCCACAATGGCTCAAAACTGTCAAAACAACGTCGTTTTGAGTGCAAAACATGCTAAAATGACGTCGTTTTGGTAGTTTTGAGCCATTGTGGCCACAAAAATTGTGGCCACAAAAATTGTGGCCCTCTAGCATCGTTGTATAATTCTAGACAATTTATGAGTAGGGTTTGACTTTTCTCATATTCACACCTCAATATGATAAAACTTGAACGGCATGTGGGGGTCATTACGAGTTTCGTTTCGATAATTTGGACCGCTCATTTTGTAAGACTCATAATGTATATCATATATGAAAGTAATTAGATCGATCCGGTAATCATAACTTTTTATTTTATTTTATCGTGTTTCCTATAATTAAAAAAAAAATAGATGGTATATTTTTTAAATATATTTATTGTCTATTTTTTCAAAGAGAAATGTGATAAAATGAAAATGTTACGTTTATTAGATTGAATTAATTTTTTTTATGAATGATATACATTGAGAACCTTACAAAATAAAATGTTTGGATCATCGAAACGGGACCTATGATTGGCTCAAAACCTTCAAATTCTCTCATATTAAGATATGAATATGAGATAAGCCCATCCCTTCTCAGTATATGTATATAGGGTCTGCCTTTGGTCCAGTCCACTATCGGACTGGACTGTGTTGTTGGGCCAGTGGGAGCCCACCACGGGTCCCGTTGTGAAAATATGAACCGTTCAATATGTAGAACTCATCGAGTACTATATGCCTGCGAAAAATCACGTTGATCGGATATCGATAGTTATGTGATCAAATCAGTTTTGTATAAAAAAAATGGATGGTGAAAAAATTAACGGTTGATAAAAAATTATTTTGATCACATAGCTATCGATATCCGATCAATGTGATTTTTCATAGGCATATAGTACTCGACGAGTTCTACACATCGAACAGTTTAAATTTTTAAAACGGGACCCGTAGTGGACCCTCACGAACCCAACAATACGATCTAATCTGATGATGAACTGGACCAAAGCGAGGCCCATGTGTATATATATATATACTTTAACACACTCAATGTATTTTTCTAAAATAAACTCTCTCTTAATACAAGCTATAGGAATTAACAAAAGCAAACTTTGACCTATCCTTCTGGTTTTAGACTTTCGGTGTGTAAAGTTTGTCTTATTTTCACATCTACTCATGTCAAATATCATGTCATGTTTGTTAGTTGAAGTTTTTATTTTTTTTATATAAATGACAAATTATAAAACAAATTAAGTAAGTTAATTGGTTTTTATATTAGTAACATCCTGTGATATTATTTATTATGTGATGCTCCAAATCTGATAAAATTTTTTATATTAAATGATTAGGAGACAAAAAATGAAAAGCATAGGACACTTATTCTGTCATCAACAATTTAGGCATCCTAATTATAAAACGATTTGTAACTTGTAAGACTTTTGTTTTAGATTATAATAATGTGTTGCAAATGAATAGGAGATCTTCAAATTTTCGATTTCTGTTAAAAATGGAGAGGAGCCATAAAACATGATCTCAAAAAATTAACTGACCCAAACAACTTAAATGAATTGAATTTAACAACATGCTCACTCCATCCGAAATACCAAACCAAAGTTACAAATACTAGTCTATTTGATTCTTTCATTTTCCATTGGCATGGATATTGTTGTTTAAATTGTGAAATTAAATAAATAGATTTATGAAGGCATCAAAATTATATACCAAAAATATATGCTGATAATTACAACTAAATTTCAACAGAAATACACGAAACAATAAAATGATAAAGAAACCAAACCGAAGCCTGCACGGTAGCAGTTTCCTTAAAATAGATTTCGTTGCCTCACGGGTCGAGTGCTTGAGGAATCCCGGCGTCTGTCTCTCAAGATACGACGGTCAAAAACCAGCTACGGCAGAAGCACTCTCTGTCTAGCTTAGAGAACAAAAACAGTGGCAGCACTCTCTTACAGTAGGAACTTTCTGGCAAACTGACTTG